GGGTTCATCATTTATCAAGAATTGATCTATCTTTGATTCCATAACTTTTGTTAGATGAATCCATTCTGATATATCAATCTTAGGCACTATTTTCATTAGTTCTGTTACCATGATCGTAACGAATCGGGTTTTTAATCCAGTAGGATGATATTGGGCGCCTAGTGGGATTAGACGATCACTTTCAAATCCGCTTCTTTTTAATTCGAGGAATCGTTTTTGTAGGCCCTTTAAGTTACTCTCAATTTGGTTTAGTCGTTTTGTTAGATTTTCTGGCGTATCTATGCTCTCCGTTTGCGATTCCTTTTGTATCCAAGTCTCCTTACATTCAGATAACCATTCACTTAGTTTCCGGACAATTACATCAATACTTTTATGTACTACTTCTTCTCTGACTAGTAGAGATATCGAATCAATCTTCTCCTGTTCGACTAGATTCTTTGATTTGTCAGAGAAGCTGCAATCGCTTTGGGTTGAGTTCATGTTCTCAGAAGCCTCATGTTCTTCTTCCTTGAGGTTCTGTTGGCCCTGCTTTATTACATCTATTTGCTTTGTTTGTTTCCTCCTTAAGACTTTCAGCTCGTCTATTGCATTGGTTATCTCATCATATTCCGATACTATTTGACTATCTATATCTAACATGAGCCTTTTAAATCTAGCAGACAACTCCATCTCATCTGAATCCTCATCAGAACTACACCAAACACAACACAAACCAATAACCAAGCAAACTACTTGATAAACATTCAAAGAGTATTCATTTAACCTTCTGTTCATTTTACAAGTTGCTATCTTATATTTTTATTTATAGGTTATAGTATATCAATATCAAAAATATTCTAGTCTTAGCCAAGCAAATTCTCTAAATTAGTAGAATATCAAAAAGACTTACTTTCTAAGTATGTCTATTCAATACTAAACCAATACCAAACCAATACGACCACTACTAACCCAACCCAAAGATCTACCTGATGTTTTGCCAGCTAATTACGTCTTGCAACTTTAATAGAGTCAATCTGATTCAACCAATTTAGTTTTACATATCTACGCTACAATTCAATATGACGTCATCCACACACAATCATATTTATTTAACAAATCACATCGATGCTCGTCTCAAGAAATGTCTTTAATAGAGTAGGCATTGGCCAATGAACCCTATCCAACCAAACACTAACACCACCTAATCTATAACAGCTTATCTAAAACGCTCGAGAGAATATAGTAGAATAAAATATAGCACCATCCGCTTCTAAATCTACCCTTAGGGATGAAAGGTTGTATTCCTGGTCCTAGAGACAAAAAGGAGGCCCATTTGGTTGGTATCTTGGTTCAATAAAGATAATCTCCAAGTCTCACATGCTGAGGGCTTTTTTATTTCAAACTGGGCGAGTTTCATGCTCGGCGTGCCACAATATGTAGTCTCCATACACATTGCCTAAAAAGGAAATGTATACTTTTGTCAAACTTCCTTTTTGGGTAATTTTGATTTTTAGAGTTATTTCAAATCTAAATGATCATCTCAGTTGAATCTAAGAAATCGTATTTAAGAATAGTTAGTTACTATTGGGTTAGTCTTGGATTGTGTGTTTGGATTGGGTTGTTATGTGGTGTTAATGCAACATGTGCTAAATTAGAGCTAAGTGCAAACAGTAGCACAACACTACCAACTCCAGCAGAAATGATTAAAACGTTAAAGACAATTGGGTTTAGCTTTGATGTAGAGGATCCCAAAGTCCAGATAGAACCATATGTATCTACCCTGCAACAAGAGCCTGCAACAGAACTCAATCCGATAAGAACAACTCCTCCTATGTATGCAGTAACGTGTTTTCCCGCGCATCTCCGATTTAAACTACCCGAATATCCTGATTTAATCACTGCCCATGTGGCCTTAGAAGAGCTAAGAAAGATTTCTACTATCAAGGTCCTATTTGGCCATGTTATTTGGGAGCCAAACACAACAATATTTCATCAGATAAACCTCTTAATTCTTACTCGAGTGTCTAATATACTTGATTGTGACACAATGAACCAATGCGTATGTCCTTCTTTAGAGAACCAAGACTACACACGCCTGATAAAATTGGGTGCCAGTCAAAGCGAAGCAGAGGATGCGGTTAAGTATGCTGTTTATGAGAAAGCCTGCCAACTCGAGCTTTATACTCCCAGAAGAACTAGACTTCCAAACCTAGAACCTAGTGGTGTCTTCTTTATGCGACCATTTAATCGTGTTTTCTTAAGGGGCAGTGCAGTTTATGATGCGCATCTCCTTAGTCAGCTATCTTTAACCTCTGATTATTCTCTTTCGTTTGCTATACCACCCAAACCCATTAATATTGATCTTAGAGTTCTCCGCACATCATCTTCTATATGTAAAGAAATCATCATTGATGGCTCTGCTGGCATCCAAGTAACACTAAGTGGGCTTGATAATGCTACGGCTAAGCACCCAGAAATAGTTCTGAAGTCAACTTGGGAAGTGTTTTTATATCTAGCCAGAAACAACCAAAGTGACATTCATGTTCGAGCTATTTCTGATTTCTCTATTGAGTCTCATAGTCTTCAAAGAATGCTTCTTTCCTCGCAACTACCGTATCCCTCCCAGTTACATCTCTTTTCCAACGTTGTTGTTGCTAGAATTTCCCCTATTCTGCCCTGTCGTGCCCTAGATCTATACAAATTCGTCTACAGCCCAGCTGCATTAGCCAAGTTTGGTATCATAACTGGCACCGTCTCCGTCCACTATAAATTGGACCGAACCGACCTGTATGACACCATAAACATGTTTTGCAAGATCAATGCTTTACCAGAAATTCCCCAGGAAATTGATGATGATATCACCTGCTGTGGCACAGCGCTTAGTGATCCAGATTGGGAGCTTAAAACACCAGTCTTAATTCAACTCGATCACCCCGACTTTGATGCGTCTCTCAAGCAATACACAGACCTACACTTTGTAAGCTTCTGTGAGAATATACGTTATACGACCATCAGTATTAACGGGTCCCCAACCGGTAACCCAATCAAAGAAATCGAAAGATGCATACATATTTTGTCCATATTCCATAACCTCACCGCCACCGAAGTCAAGATATCAAATATAGGAGGTGTAAATAGCTCCAATAGCCTACTTGACATAAATGCTTCTAATCAAGCAATAGCTCAAGGCATCCACAATAACTTCAATGTCCGTCGGCTAGTAATAGACAATGTCGATAATCAAATTATCTATTGGCTGCTAGGCTATTACAACTTTGTTGGATCAATCGAAGTACACGTCCTCAACCAAAAATTCACTAACCTAGCTATTGTCCAACTTCTTACCCATCCCATGCTCCAATCAATCACATCACTCGTTATTAACGATTTCGCCACTCTAAATGAACTTATAAACTATCCACAACCACCACAACCCGGCCAATTCTCATTATTCAAGTACATAGAGGATAAAAGACAAGAAGGCGAAACTATCCTAAGTCTTGGTTTACACAAACTAGCTCTACAACTAGAAGGAATCCCATTTGATCCATACCACGAAGTCCTACGCAAATTATGGACTTATAGCATCCTTCCTCTAGACATACCCCTTAAAACCTACCTCACCTGGATATCCATCCCTAATTCAACTATCTTAAGCAAAAGCGAGCTACTACTCTCTAGCATTACTTTAACCGACCTTTCCAATGACTCAAACCACTACCAAGCCAGCCTAACCAATCCATTCCAAATCTCCCAACTACTAAGAAGGTCGGTTGCAAAGCTACACCTCTACTTCACACCCGGCCAAACACTAACTCAAACAGACTTCACTACAATTATCCGCTGGATATCTTGCCGATTCACCGGCCTAACCACACTCTACCTAGCCAACTTACAAGTCCCACCCAACGAACAGGCCCAACTAACCACCCAAGACTATCTACTTCTAGACCTAACCCAACTCACTACGATTCAAATCCAAGACATCAATTCCGAGCCCAATACATACATTGAAATAGCCATTAAACCCCATCTTACCCACCTCTTACTCCATACCCCTAACCCCCAGCCCGAATTCACCGCCGTATCACATACACTACTAACCCAAATGTTCACTCTAATCAATGAACTTAAAATCCCCATCCCCATCCCCACGGCCCTCACCACCAAATCATCTCTCATGGCAATCGTCAAACATCTCCGAGACAATCGAGATGCACGAGAAAGCATCATCTGTTCACTTTGTGATGCTAGACTATTCCTACCCGCCGACAATGGCAACACCAACCCCAACAACAACCCCGATGGCACCAACGAAGATAACAACGACAATAGCAATGGCGAACCGTGTTCTAAAAAGCCGCGTCTCAACTCACTCCTATACCAACACATACCACCCACTACCTTCACCGCACTCTGTTACTTCAAATGTTCCCACTTCGCTTGCATTAACTGTACCACCAGTTGGTTCAATCTCCACCAAGAGAAAACCTGTCCTTTCTGCCGCGCCCCAAGGATCGACCAAAACATCCACCAACTTCTCAACTACCCATTCACTAGTTTTATTCTCAATCCAGACAACCCCACCACCCCAAGCAATTCCGAAGCCCAACTCAAACTTCTCCTCAGCCCCCACCACGACCAAGTCTACTTCTACCAACCATTTACCTGCATAACCGAACTTTCCAACAGCATTACCCCCAACTCCACCTACAACAACTCCCAACCCCTCTATCTCATCTAACCCAATAAACCACTTACTCAACATCCTATTTGTCCTATCTACTTACTCATATCTTATATTATCTTATCTACTTACTCATATCTTATCTACTAACAACATACTTACTCATATCTTATCTACTAACAACATACTTACTCTTATCTTATCTAAACTTTACTCAATACTTACTCATCTACTAACTTAACCCAACTCAATACTTACTCATATCTTATCTACTAACCCAATACTTAACTCATTTTATTATAAACATTTTAACATCCCCTTAATCCACCTCAGTATATCACAACTTACTAAACTCACCCTAAACCTAACTCAATACTAAACCCACCACAACCAAACCAAACTTAACTTAATGCAAACTTAAAACCCATTTATTACTTCATTGCTTGAGGTAGCACCGTGTTATAACACTTGGCACAGAAGTACCCTTCGGGTGATTTAGCCATGAAAATCTCCGGTCCACATTGAGCACAAGATTCCTTCAATACTTTCACTCGGCCATCCTTCTCCACCTCAAACTGTCTTAAACAAGCCAACTTAATCTTAGGTCGCACTTCCTTTACCTTCTTAGGCGTAGTATAAGCCTTTCTCTTCTTCTTTTTACCTCCTCCTCGTAAGCGTAGTACTAAGTGAATAGTACTTTCCTTCTGAATGTTATAGTCAGATAAAGTCCGGCCGTCTTCCAATTGTTTACCAGCAAAGATCAATCTTTGTTGATCGGGAGGTATTCCT